CAATTTGTTTAGGGGTTTCCCATATATGCTAAAATGAATATAGTGGTGATGAATGGTATATTACTTGTTAATTTTGCCTCTTTTACTATATATAGCATTCATATCAAATTTTCACGTTTTATGTTTTTGAAAAATGAAAATCATTCTTCGATTTGTTTAGCTAATGTGTTTTTGTTATTCATCATTCAACTATCATGTTCTTTCACTATTCATTTAATATATTAATCAAGCGTAATATTATTATTATTATACCAATTTGCTGAATCAAAAGTGACAAACCAGTTCAAAATTCATATTTTTGAAGTTGTTATGAAGGTGAAAAAACGGAAAGGAATTATGAAATACGAAGAATATATAGAATTACTGATATGATCATATGAAAATATAGACCTTTTTTCTGTAAAGACGAAAATATATAGACCTGGAAATGGGAATTCTTAGAGTAGCTGTTGGGGCCATCTCCTCCACTCATAGGAAGTGAATTAAGAACAATCTCAACTTTCCCCATGATAATTTGACCCTTTTTCTTCTATACTTTGGGTGTAGACTCTGTTGCCTATCATTTTTATAGGCAGTGTCGGAGGCCCGAGGCGAATTTAAAAAAAAAAATTCTACAGATAAGTTTTAACGGTAAGTATAATTTAATTTTAAATAATTGTTAGAGTGCCAATAAAAAATTAACGAAACTTACTAAAAAAAATAAACTTGTATTTTACCGTGAAAGTGTTTTGAATTTGGGATGAAAATTTCAAAAAATTCTCTTATTTTACTTTTACAATTGGACTATAGTAAAAAAATGGAACCCTAAAATTAAATAATATTATTCGGGTTCTGAATGTCTTTTTAAATACATGGTAGGCACGGCCCTGTATATAAGCCATGCATTTAACATGTAGTGCTTATATTATATCCATTTTAACAATAAATAGAATACTACACTTTTATTAATTTATTAGCTTAGTTTCAAAATCACTCTTCCATACGGCACTTGAAAAGGAACTAATTGACATTTTCTACCCGAAAAAATTATAGGCATAAGGTTCGAATTTTTTTTTGTTAAAACAATTACTTCTTTTTGTTGGCGATCAAAAATACAATTGTTTTATTTGTGTATTAGTCTATTAGCTAACTATGCATATGAGAGAGTTGACTCTGCAAGCAATATCAAGAAAACCTCATTAACAACAATTTAGCTTCCATTTTTTTTTATCGAGGATGACATATAGGGAGACATAAATTAGGTGGTAAACAATTTACAAAAAAATAATGAAACAGAAAACCGATCTGGAATTAATGACACATAAACTCATCATAAAGCATACACACATGACATACACGATTATATAACGAGAAATGCACTATACACTTCGTATAGTGCTTGTTTTAGAACAAGTGAAATGCAAAGAAATAGGTAGGAATGTAGATTGTAACATAATTTTAGTTGTAAAGGAATTATATTTCTTCTTCGGATCAGTTAAAATTGCCAATTTTCTTATTGGAGTGGAATTAATAGAGTTTATTTTTTTA